ACATACTTTACCTTAATCCAATCAAACAGCAAATAGCACTGCTTATCAGCGCTAAGTAGAGATGGCGGCAAATTGGTTGTGAATGGTTCCAGGGTATTTATCATCACAGAATGGAGACATACCGTATTCGACGTAATAAGCGAACGGCTCTAATAAGAGCGCATGGTGATATTAGCACCCCTTCTGTTCTGATTGATCAATGTACACAAGACTTATTTATTGGTGCATAATACGCACTCGTGTCCTATATGGACCCTTAATTATGGGCAATTGAATTCTAGAAAAATATATCTGTTGTATGTAAACATTTCAGGCTGTCAGCATAAACCACGAAATTTACGATCTTTCAACTCTGTTTTTTTTTCACCAAAATAATATTCTAATAAGAGCCCCCTATCTCTAATTTTGAGAGCGCCCTGGGCGCTTATTAAGTCAAATATGGTAATACACAGGGTAATCAAGTATTGTTTGTCGCCTTTCAGTTGGAATATGCAAGTGTATGTTTTGGTGTCCTATTGATTTACACTACATTAACACATGCTGGATTCTATCTTGGTCAGCAACGAGATGAAGAGGATGCACATCATATACAGCTGATGGTGCTGCACGCAGTTTCAGGAACCACAGACTCACTTGCAGACAATTCCACCATCACAACGTTTAATGTATGTTGCTCATGTCTGTTGGTGGGGGCAAAATCATATTTCATGAAAATCAGTACAGTAGAACACGGATGTAACGAACACGGATAGAGCGAACAAACGAACCGTTAAAAATTCCCCGATTTATCTCCTACATGATATCATATAAAACTTACGTATATAACGAACTCTCTACAACGGATACAGCGAACTGATATCTGATCACCGACAAGCCCATCTATCACTAATTAGTGACGTGTATAGGGAACTGAGAAATCTTACTCAGTGTCAAGTGTCACTGACAATTGGCTGTACGCAATCAGCGGTGAATCAACACAATCGCGGCGAATCAACTCAATCAGTGGTGACGGATCAACCTTGTTATACTTAAATGAATGTTATGAAATGTTATCAACTGAATGCTATGAAGTGATCATTGCTAATACAAGTCAATGCTGCAGCTACATGTATTGTGTTTTGTTTTATCCAAGATGGCGGACGTTTCCAAGCGAAAACGTCTAAAATGAACAACGGATATAACGAACTGATTTCTCCGGTCCCTTGTAGTTTGTTATATCCATGTTTTATTGTAATTGGAAAAGAAATTTTCATCATGGGCCTTTTGGCTCAATGATTACAAAATGTATGGGCTATTTTGGACACATATGGGTCATTTTTGGCAAGTATTGGCCATAAATTTTACTCTATGAGCCTTTGATAAATTCAACAGATTGCAAGTATTGGCCATAAATTTTACTCTATGAGCCTTTGATAAATTCAACAGATTGCAGCTGAACAAAACATTTCAGTTCAATATATTCTTAATCTTGAACTTTAAATTATAACATGTCATATCATCAAGAAATATTGCTGTGTCAACTCAACAAACAAAACTCTGTTGTCCCTCGCGATAATGTGTTTCACGATACCGTGTTTCGCTTAAACCGCCGGGTGATCATTGACTCCCATATATTTCATTTTACCTCTGACACATCTTCCCGTAATCGCGATCGGAAACAGCATATCAACAAATCTGTATTGAATTACGCAAGCTAATCCTGCTGTTACACTATCGTGTTATAAAAAATGCACACTGTATATCTGGATATAAGGTTTGTAATCTATTTTATGAAGTTTATTCACATTTTCTTCAATCCTGTTTACATTAATTTGGGTGAAATTGTGTTTGAACGAATCAGCACATCCCTCCAACGCAATGATATTTTCAACAACAAAAATCGGTTTACCGCTATTGGTTCCGTCAAATTGAACCTTAGTTGTCAGAGAATGGATCATAGATCATAAATGCCATACTTGGACTCGTTTAGTAATATTTGTCGTAGTTTGACTATTTCATGTTAACATTTGCGATCGCAAATAGCAAGACCGCGGATAGCCTCAACTCATTTCATAAAATACATATCCGGCAATATACCAAAGTGCAACGCTTATAGTTAATATTATTTTTCATAAATAACACGATATGACAACATATTATCCCTGGTAAAATAACAGTTTCAGATATTATTTCTTCCTATCATTGCATCAAAATTCACTAAAGTTATATTACTGGCTATTTGTTAGGTGAGGTGAAATTGGGTTTAACGTCACGTCCAAGATTATTGCACTTATATAGCAACGTGCATGCACGTGTGTGTGTGTGTGTGGTTGCTTGTACTAGTCCGGACTGATGCCGATTTATAGTGCTAGCACACTGAGATACCATGCCGCAGTTTAACATGAATACCCCACTCAGACACAGTATACTGACGCCGAGCCGACCAGTCCTTGCTTTAGCCCCCTAATGCCAAGCGCCAGACAGGGTAACAACAAGTACCATCTTTTAAAGCGGATGGGGATCGAACTCTGGACCTTCCGCTCTCCGGGCGGATGCTCTACCTCTAGACCACGGAGGCGGTCCGGCTATTTCTTAACTGAATCACCAATAGATCTGGGAGAAAATGTGTGAACATGTGACTGCCATTTACATAGTTCAAGAGACAAATACACACAGGGACACCGTGATCTTAACCTCTACGTATGAAACCCAATGCCAAGGGTAACAAGTGAGTGAGTGAGTGAGTTGGGTTTAACGCTGCTTTTAACATTATTCCAGTTATATCACGGCGTGTCAGCTTAATGTGGGAGGAAAGTCCGAAAGAATGCAGGTCTGAGATGTTTACCACTTCGGTGAAACCCACGAGCACAGGTATGGTGCTGACAAACCTAGAAACATAATCGGGCCCAAACGGATTCGAACCCACAATCATAAGATTCTGGCGTGCCCAAGGGACGCAACTCTGCACAGCGAATCGCAGCGCCTTAGACGTCTGGGCCACCCGTGCCCCCCCAAGGGTAACAAGAACTAGAACGGAAATGGTAAATCATCAAATCTCGTGATGTCTTATTGCAAAATTCATATTTTCATTGACCAAGTTTGTGATCTCCCTTTGTTCAACTGAAGCAAAACAATGTGTTTTTGACTGTAAACAATACACTAAATAGCAATAATACTCAAGTGCACACGCTGCACCAAAAAATACGATATCATCCGTCCTGCATTCCATATTAGGAATATCGCGGTTGTCTGAAAGCACGGAGGGGGTGGGGTGTCTTCCATGGACCTCGAGGCCAGTCACCCGGTTCAAAATTCGCACCTCAGTCTCAACTAAATCATGTGGTGACGCAAGAAACACTATAAATAGCACTGAGCAAATGACGTACTCAGTTCAAATCCTACATAATCGGAACCTTTCGTGATGAACAAAAACATAAAACGATTTTGTATGAAAGAGTACTGCAGTGTAAAGAAAGATGGCGGAAAATCGGCGATTCATTGGTCAAGATGACAAAATTTACTTTTTGGGGCAGTCAACGGAAATTTGACACAGGTACGATACCTACTGGACATGCATACCCATTTCTGTACTTTTTTGCCATTTCTAAAAATTATATGCATTGGCACATGACGCATGACTTTGCCAATCACTGGAATATGGAACTATATTTTCTTATTTAAATCCAGCATTTAAATGCAACCTTATGAATTAAATAGAAAACAGAAATTATTGAGTCACACGAACTTGTGTGACAAATGCTGGTTGTGACAGGTCACAATAAGAGTGTAAACTCGAAGGCTATTAGCAGATACATCCATTGCACCTTGTGATAAACTATTTGAAGAAAATAGAACATATTTATGATATTAATGCCAAGCTTCGTTCAGAACCAGTGAATATGTTTAAGGTAAAACATGTTCATATCATGTTTGACTAACTCCACCCCCCTCATCTTGTTAGTATCTATGGGTACTTACCACATTGTTGCCATATCTTCATCGTAAAAAAATAAACATTCGGTTCGCGTCAACGTGTCCCGATGTATTGTCATTCGTTTGTATTTTTTAAAACACAGACCATGCTATAAAACATGACTGATGTAGGCACGATATTGGATACCTTTCTAGTAGGATATGTAACGGATCATTGAAATGTAATAATGTAATCATTGAAATGTAACAATATTATCATTGAAATGTAATAATGTAATCATTGAAATGTAACAATGTAATCATTGAAATGTGATAATGTAATCATTGAAATGTAATAATGTAATCATTGAAATGTAACAATGTAATCATTGAAATGTAATAATGTAATTATTGAAATGTAACAATGTAATCATTGAAATGTAACAATGTAATCATTGAAATGTGATAATGTAATCATTGAAATGTAACAATGTAATCATGTAACCAGGACTGAATAACGAAGCATTGAAACACACAATTCTGAAACTATCTGCACCAGCAATGGTAAAACTAAGGAATAGAACATGTCATTGTATATTTATGACAGGTGTGTATCAAGTAATAAAAATACATGTGTCATAAAAAATAATATCCCATATTGAAACTGAATATAATTCAAAATCTTTGATTAAACTCAAGGCCATAGTGTTAATTTCAACTGGCATACTACTGTGTGATGTATTTGCAAATAGCTTATTGGATATAACACCACCTTGTGGAATTTGAGTTTAGGAAATGTTAGGGTTTAATTAAGAGGATGTAAATGAGTGCACACTTCTAACCATTTATTTGTTTTCCATTGTGTTTGGCACTAGATATTTTATTTTAGTTTATAGGTTAAAGTAACTTGGGATAGTAATTCTATATTCGGATTTGACATCCTCAAACTCTGGACACTTGAAGAAAGAAAGGAATTGTCAAGCACCTACCTTGGGCGACATCAGCGGCTGAAAGGCAACTGCAAGGTCATCAAGGTCACACAGCACATACAGTACAACGTTAGGAGCCTCAGTGGAAGCACAAGTCTGTGAGAGAACCTTCCCACTTACCCCACCAAAGCCATGAAGCTCCACCTCAACATCATCATCATCGTCAGTCTTGTGCTTCCTGTCGGACTTCCCTTTCTTCACCGATGTGTTGTCCTTGTCCTCAGCCACTGCATCATCTGGGAGGTCCTCCATCTCCACCTGTGGAGGACATTGTGACAGTACAGACAGTGATGCTGACCTCTTGTCTGGAGTCTGGGTGTGTACACACATCTTTTCCCTCATACGACCCCCACACTTCCCTCACCCCACAGACCCACCCCTAGGCCGACCTCCTGTATGGAGTCTTCCTGAGGCAGCCAGTGGTTGTCTAAATGGAGGAAGTGTCTGGGTGTCTCGACCCTCACCCCACACATCCCTTCCCTCACACGCCCCCCCCAAACTTCCCTCACCCCACACACATCCCTTCCCTCACACACACCCCCACTTCCCTCACCCCACACATCCCTTCCCTAACACACACCTCCCCCCCCCCCCCTTCCCTCACCCCACACACATCCCTTCCCTAACACACACACCCCCCCCTACTTCCCTCACACATCCCTTCCCTAACACGCCCCCCCCCCCACCCACCCCCCCATCCCTTCCCTAACACGCCCCCCCCCCCCCCTACTTCCCTCACCCCACACACATTCCTTGCCTCACACACACACTTCCCTCACCCCACACACATCCCTTCCCTCACACACACCCCCACTTCCCTCACCCCACACATCCCTTCCCTCACACGCCCCCACACCCCACACATTTACACACATCCCTTCCCTGACACACCTCCCCACACTTCCCTCACCCCACACATGCACACACATCCCTTCCCTCACACGCCCCCACACTTCCCTCACCCCACACATTTACACACAACCTTCCCTGACACACCTCCCCACACTTCCCTCACCCCACACATGCACACACATCCCTTCCCTCACACGCCCCCACACTTCCCTCACCCCACACACATCCCTTCCCTCACACACACCCCACACTTCCCTCACCCCACACATCCCTTCCCTAACACACCTCCCCCACACTTCCCTCACCCCACACATCCCTTCCCTCACACGCCCCCACACTTCCCTCACCCCACACATTTACACACATCCCTTCCCTGACACACCTCCCCCACACTTCCCTCACCCCACACATCCCTTCCCTCACACGCCCCCACACTTCCCTCACCCCACACATTTACACACATCCCTTCCCTGACACACCTCCCCCACACTTCCCTCACCCCACACATCCCTTCCCTCACACGCCCCCACACTTCCCTCACCCCACACATCCCTTCCCTGACACACCTCCCCACACTTCCCTCACCCCACACATCCCTTCCCTCACACGCCCCCACACTTCCCTCACCCCACACATTTACACACAACCTTCCCTGACACGCCCCCCCACACTTTCCTCACCCCACACACCCCTCTGTACACTGACCTCCTGTATGGAGTCTTCCTGTAGCAGCCAGCGGATGTCTAGATGGAGGAAGTGTCTGGGCGTCTCGTCCCACTTCTTCTGGATCTGTTCGCACAATTGTCACATAATAGTCACACAAGTGTCACACAAGTGTCACATAACAGTCATCACCATATTGGAAGAAACAAATCTCATGAAGGTGACCTTCGTCAATTCTGTATTCAACATCCTCATCTTCTCAAAACTCACCACTGTCTACTGCAGTTTAAATAAAGTAGCACCACAATGAATAAAACAGTAGCACCTCTATGAATAAAACAGTAGCACCACAATGAATAAAACAGTAGCACTACAATGAATAAAACAGAAATGACTAAATCTATTTTGGATACATTATTATTTTAGCTATCAGTTCTTAAAATTCAGGAACATGTCGAAAACAAATTCAATTGGAATACAGTTAAATTACATATAACAACTCTATGATAATCTAATAACATCCAATAGTCGTTTGTCGATTGTGGAATGGGTGAATGAGTGAGTTTGGTTTAACGCTGCTTTTAACAGTATTCCAGTTATATCACGGCGTGTCAGCTTAATGTGGGACGAAAGCCCGAAGTGATGCAGGTCTCAGATGTTTACCACTTTGGTGAAACCCACGAGCACGGGTATGGTGCTGACAAACCTAGAAACATAATCAGGGCGAACCGGGATTCGAAACCCACAATCATAGGTTTCTGGCGTGCCCAAGGGATGCAACTCTGCACAGCGAATCGCGGTGCCTTAGACGACTGGGCCACCCATGCCCCCGATTGTGGAATGGGAACTTGGTTGACCAAGAGCTCTGGTTTCTGCAGCCACCAGTTAGGTCTCTGTACCAGGCACAATGTGCACTTTGTATCAACCCCATCTGATGACATTCCTCACCTTCTCAATGTCCGTCAGCTTGAACTTGTGCGTGTTCCTCTTGGCACATGTGTTCACATCAGCCTGAACGCTGGCAATGTACACCTGTTATAGTATATCAATGAGTGAGTGAGTGATTTCCTGTTATCAGGGATGTGAGCAGGTTTTCCGGAAAATAGAGGATAAGTCTAGGGGGGGTCTGGAGGCAAGTCCCCCCTCCCCTGAATTTTTTTTAAACATTTGATTGCATTTTAAGCAGTTTCGTGCAGTTTGGCCAACATTTACACCAAGAAATGTTATAAGTCAATGGCAAAAGTCAATAAGTCAAATAGACAAAAATAACGGATGCAGTAAAATTTCAAAGTTAAATCAGTACTTTTAAAAAATCAGACATAGCTTCTGCGCACTGCCATAAATTTCACCCCCCACCCCCCAGACACAAGGACAACTGTCACAAGCGTGCAATGTCTGACCCTTTCCCCATGTTGAAGCATATTGAAAAAAAAATCACCTTGTACTTACTTACCTTTTGTTGAAAAAAAATCAAAACTCCATTGCAAACATAAGACATTAATAAAACATATATCCCCGTGTTATATTTTTTCGGACGCTGACGAAACATTCATAGTTTTCTCGCTAATCACATTAACAACTGTAAAACATCTCATTCACGTATAGGCTAAAAGACAGCTTTATCTTGAAAACAATGTGGGAGGAAAGCCCGAAGTGATGCAGGTCTCAGACGTTTACCACTTCGGTGAAACCCACGAGCAAGGGTATGGTGCTGATAAACCTAGAAACATAATTTGGGCGAACCGGGATTCGAACCCACAATCATAGGTTTCTGGCGTGCCCAAGGGATGCCTCTCTGCACAGCGAATTGCGGCGCCTTTGACGACTGGGCCACCCGTGCCCCCGATTATTGTTTACAAAAAAGACATGAATGTAATGCATGTCAAACATATTCCCAAGGCAAGGGAGTTAACTGACTATAAAAGTCCAGTTTCCACCCTTGCCGAACTAGGCTGGAATTTACAGGCTCGATGGCTATTACAAATTATGTTCCCTTCTTTATTCCTCCTATTGACCAATCAGATTCCATCTTTCATGTAACATTTGCAATTGCTTCAAACAAAATGGCAGTACACAGTCAAGACGATCTGCTCAATGATCAAGATCAAAATTGTAATAAAACGGGCCTTATCCCGTGAAGTGCATCAAATAACGTGAGCACCTTAATTAAAGCATGATGATGTCAAAAGGTGTACCATATTTCTACCAGAAACAGAGACAGACATCCCTTGAATTAATGCTCCAAGACATATGCTACAAGTCAATATCGTTTTTATGCCTGAAAAGAGAAAGACTGGCTAGCTAACATAGATTACCTGGAAGCCCTTAGATTTGGCGTAACTCCAGAAATCTTCGTAATGCTTGACCTTCTCGTTGACAGCATCCACAATAATAAAGGGGAAGAAGCCATTGTCTATTGTCTTCTTGAAGGACTTGAGCAGGTTGTCTCTGTAGGCACTCTCCATCTCTGCCTCGTACTCGTACTCCAACACCTGCAACAGGAACCCTTACAATGAGGAAACACAGGACTGCAGCCATCGTGTCTTCTTGCACTCACAAACAATACTGGGAAATCATCATACAAATATTCACCTCCAAGCTACACAGTCAGCGTGCATAATTAGAGCATTCGTGACCAACTCGTGTTATTCCAGGACAAGCCGAATAGCGACTTGAGCCCCTCTCATGGCCATTTTTGCGACCGGGTTCAGTCTTCGCGCAAACGGGCATACCTAAAATAATTGTCAACTCGTCGCGTTATGGTTCACATGTATTTACCCATATATTATATATATTTCAGATGCAAATTAAAGCACATCGGGACATGCGGAATTATACAGTATGATTGAACACATTTAACTGTGTCTCGGGTATAGTTTTAGATGCAAGACATATGTAAAATCAAAACTTATTTCTGAGGGATTCTTTGACGAAGAACTTGAAATCATACGTGCATTCGGATTGGTTTGTCGTATTTTCGCACATAACATTCATCGATAGGGGGACGAGTCTTCTTGCAGGTTACGGAAAGGGGCGATTGGTGACGAATGTAATTAGAGCTGTTATTATTTATATCAATACAAAAGTAGTTCTGGCAAAAATGCAAAAGTATGAGAACGCCTCTCGCCCAGTTTCTCTTTTGAGCATCAGAAAACATCTTTTATCAATATGCCAGCAGGATTACAGTATGTATGAGGAGAAACAAGCAGCTGTCATCAGACATGAAGGGCAAGGTGTTCGTGAGTGAGGGTATTCCTCCTTCCGGGTACCTTCTTTGTGACCATCTTCCCCGTCTCGGAGTCCTTCTCCTTCTTCTCCGTCTCCACCATGAAGTAGTCGTCCAGACACAACATTCGCGGGGCACTGCCTCCATTGGCCAGTTCTTTGTCCTGCACACAGATAACACACATGTCACCCGTCACATGTATCACGCAATTTTTGCGGGGCACTGCCTCCATTGGCCAGTTCCTTGTCCTACACACAGTTAACACACATGTCACATGTCACATGTATCACACACCACATACAATACATCACATGCCACATGCCACATGCCACAGATCACATACAATACAATACATCACCCATCACACACAATACATCACAGATCACACAATATACATCACACATCACAGATCACATACAATACATCACACATCACATACATCATAGATCACATACAATACGTCACACATCACATACAATACGTCACACATCACATACAATACATCACACACCACATACAATACATAACACACCACATACAATACATAACACACAATACATCACACATCACATACAATACATCACACATCACATACAATACATCACACATCACACACAATACATCACACATCAGGGTGTCAGTTAACGCCCTATTAATCCCAAGATGGGTAAAGTAGTCACTGATCACTCATTCAAAGCACATTACTACTTGTGTAACATGTCTAACTGCATACCCTGCATACCCTGCATACCCAACAAAAATTACATACGCTAATATTTTTGTGAGGTGAGGTGAAATGGGGTTTAACGTCTCGTCCAGAATATTGCACTTACATAGCGACGTGGATGCATGTGTGTGTGGCTGCTTGTACCAGTTCGGACTGATGCCGATTTATAGTGAGATACTGAGATACCATGCCGCAGTTTAACATGAATACCCCACTCAGACACAGTATACTGACGCCGAGCCGACCAGTCCTTGTTTTAGCCCCTTAATGCCGAGCGCCAGACAGGGCAACAACAAGTACCATCTTTTAACATCTTTAGGTATGACGCGGCCGGGGATCGAACCCCGGACCTTCCGCTCTCCGTGCGGACGCTCTACCTCAAGACCACGGAGGCGGTCGCAAACCAAGAAATAACAAAAGCTACACTCGGACCCTTGAGGAGGAGACCCTAGTGACTCCTCGTACAAACTGCACAATACTTACACGGACAAGTTTGCTGACGTATGTCTTCCCACTGCCAGGCAATCCCCGGAGAATGATGACGATCTGGGGCGGGCGAGACTTGCGGCCCGGGGAACACAGCAGGTCCTCTACCTTGGCTGTTTCTATCTTGGGCTGGTACACAGGCTTAGCCTCTTGGGGGGAGCGCCCGTAGGACTCTCTGAAATGGAGGCTAAAAAGTGAGCACAGCTCACAGTCAATCTGTCCCCACATCAAGATCGTTGTTGCCATAACCCGTTTTAGGCTTGTTAGCTTGCTTCATAAAGTGTCCAGGTCGACAAAGGTCATCCATGGGTGGTATTGCAAAGGGTTAGAGATATAAAGGGTGCATGCATTTGATCAACACTGACATGTATTGTGGTTAAAAAGAGTACATGGTTATAGGGGTGTCACTAGTCAATAGGGGTGTCACTATTCAATAGGGGTGTCACGATAAATTGAAATATCGATATATTGCTATTGGTAAGCACTTAAAAGTCAATAAATCGAATTTAAATCAGTTTCTGATCAATAGTATCGATTTCAGTTAGGAATATTGATAGTTTTCGATTGTATTTACCGTATCAATAAAATACATGCGATGCTGTTCAAATTTGTTTTTCTTTTTATTGTGAGTGGTAGTAATTTACACATGGTAATGTGGAAGGTTTTTTTTCTTAAATTATTAGGGTAAAGAAAAAACAAATCAGTCATATCTCAAACTTTCCTTTTTATTTGTTGTTATGGTTATCACTTCAAAGGAAACTTCAGTTCCAAGGTTCAATTCAACTCTAAAATCCATCTAAGATGATACCCTGAAAACTATCGATATTTATTGCAATAGTTTCTTTCAATATCAATAGTTATCGCAATAGTGATTTCCAGACCAATAGTCACCCCTACTATTTAAATTGATGGATCATGAACTAAAACCTGATGATACAATACGTGACATACCTGCGATACATTTTTTAAAAGTAATATACTATTAATACAATTCTAAATTAAACAATCATGGTAGTTAAACACAAATTGGTAAAGAACAATGTTCCCTTGCCAGCCTGGCCACATGAAACATGGAGAATATTTCATAAAAACTATGCAAATTATTGCAATAAATATCAAAATATTTCTCAAGTATCATCAGTCTACTTGCCCTAGCTTGTCACTTGGCTTTATTTTCAGTGGATTTCAATAATTATAGATTTTAATATTTTAACTAAGCTTAGGCTAAAAACATAAAACAGTCTTTTTTCTCAGACACTGCACGCATTATCATAAAGTTCATTACACGTTTCCTTTTTATTTCCATTTAAAAAAAAAAAATATCCTTAAATATTCAAGGTCTAACGGTAGTCAAATACTGTTTTCCAGTATTTTACTCATCAAGGAATACAGTTATGTAGGCAGCCCTTTCCCAGGTTGACTGTTTAATTGGTTCAACCAGTGTTCACTTGGTTACTTACTAGTTTGAACAACCCCCAAAATAACAACAAAAAACACCCAAACGCCATTGCCTGAGAACCAATGCTTTTATCTTTTTAAGCCTCACTAGACTCATTTTTACCAGTCCCAGACTTCTGGGCACATCACTGAGTGAATATCTTACATATCATACAGTAGCTGCATCGTGAGACCCTTATTTGGATATACCGTATTCAACGTAATAAGCGCCCAGGGTGCATTCAAAATTAGAAATAGGGGGCTCTTATTAGAATATTATTTTGGTGGAAAAAAAACAGAGTTGAAAGATAACTTTTGTGTTTTTTGCCGACAGCTTGAAATGTATACATACGACAGATATATTTTTCCAGAATTTAAATGCCCATAATTAAGGGTGCATATAACACACGGGTGCGTATTATACGTGAATAAATAAGTCTTTTGTACATTGACCAATCGGAAGGGGTGCTAATTGGGATTGTTCACGAGCCAATATATTAGCAAATATCGCCGTGGGCGCTTATTAGAGCTGGGCGCTTATTACGTCGAATACAGTACTTCAAAACTAGGCTACCGTATTTAAAATTAGGATGTTAATCAACTGTTACGTGTTATTCATCAGTGGATCTTGGCATGCAGTGCAACCATGGTAACATCATCATCATCATCATCATCATCATCATCATCACTACCACCACCAATATTTTGACCATCGTCATCATGCAACTTCTTATATACAAGAAAATACAGTACTGATTACATAGCTATCTGCAACTTGAACATGTTAGTTAATAGCTGTACAAAAGCATTCTAAGGTCTGGGCATGGAATATGATTATATTCCACTTATACAAAGCCTCTGACAATGCCAACAGATAGAACAAATATATAACACACGACAAGCATTCTGACAGTATCCATCTTGACCATTAAGTGAATAATTGGGAGATCAACATTATAGGATTTGCGGGTGTCATTCAAAGTGCAGGATGTTCACACCTTGTTTCCATACATGGAATACACAACTATACCCACAATTGAGTGAGTGAGTGAGTTGGGTTTTACACCGCTTTTAACAGTATTCCAGTTATATCACGGCGTGTCAGCTTAATGTGGGAGGAAAGCCTGAAGTGATGCAGGTCTCAGACGTTTACCACTTCGGTGAAACCCACGAGCACGGGTATGGTGCTGACAAACCTAGAAACATAATCGGGGCGAACCGGGTTTCTGGCGTGCCCAAGGGACGCAACTCTACACAGCGAATCGCGGCGCCTTCGACGACTGGGCCACCCGTGCTCCCCATACCCACAAATCTGAAAACATGTTTGTCAACAATCACTCTGGGTGAGGTGACGTGTGACAGGGCTTAACATCGCCTCCAAGATTATTGAATTTGATTACCCAATCAACCGAGTCTCTGAGCTTGATCACCAAATCAACCAAGTCTCTGAGCTTGATCACCCAATCAACCAAGTCATTGAATTTGATCACCCAGTCAACCAAGTCACTGAATTTGATCACCCAGTCAACCAAGTCTCTGAGCTTGATCACCCAATCAACCAAGTCATTGAATTTGATCACCCAGTCAACCAAGTCACTGAATTTGATAACCCAATCAACTAAGTCACTGAATTTGATCACCCAATCAACCAAGTCACTAAGTTTGATCACCCAATCAACCAAGTCACTGAATTTGATCACCCAATCCCTTCCCTTGCTGTGTACATCAAGCATTGGTTGCTTGGTGGCTATCTTAACCTGGAAACTAGGGGAGACAACTCTGCATGAAAACATTGCTGTGTCTAAGACCAATGAGTGCCATTGAAAAAAAATAACGGAATTTAAAGAATGTACTTCAAAAACAGATGACACTCTGAAATCACAAGACTAACCAACTGCTCAAACTGAACCAAGAATTGTCATATCATCAGTGAACATCACATATTGTGGACAAGAGATAACACTGAGTGAGTGAGTGAGTGAGTGAGTGAGTGAGTGAGTGAGTGAGTGAGTGAGTGAGTGAGTGAGTGAGTGAGTGAGTGAGTGAGTTTGGTTTAACGCCGCTTTTAACAGTATTCCAGTTATATCACGGCGTGTCAGCTTGATGTGGGAGGAAAGCCCGAAGTGATGCAGGTCTCAGACATTTACCACTTCGGTGAGACCCAGGAGCACAGGTATGGTGCTGACAAACCTAGAAACATAATTGGGGCGAACCGGGATTCGAACCCACAATCATAGGTTTCTGGCGTGCCCAAGGGACGCAACTCTGCACAGCGAATCGTGGCGCCTTAGACGACTGGGCCACCAGTGCCCCCTAGATAACACTGTGAACAGAAGAACTACTACACCTAAAAAAGGCTGGATGGACTCTTGACAGATGATAGCTATTACTCTGATACAATACCCCACTGTGTGAACATCTGACAAACCCTTCATAGGAAGGATAGGAGGTCACATCAGGCGAACTTTCAAACCAGCATTGAGGTATGAACAAGCAAAGCACTTAGAGCAACTTATTTGATTTTTCTTTATCTCGAAAATAAACACAAACAAGCAGTTCCAAATGCAAATAATAAAGGCCATTATCATACCTCCATGTCAGAATGATGAGATCTGATTGGTTCACGTGATCTTGATAAAATATGATGTATCCTGCCTGGGAGGGAAATACATTTCTGAGTGGGAGAATAAACCCCTTATACCAATCTTCGCTTTTTCCAAGTCAATGAAAGTCATGCGACACACTTTTATATCTGAGCACCATGGCATTTAAACCTAGAAGAGTGAACCATCGTGGGAACATTTGTGTGTTTTTTCTTTTGTTAAAATTGCAATTTCCAAATTAAAGTAGTAGTGAAATGAAACCAAATCAGTTAAATTGGGTGTCAAAGTTTGTTCCGGGTTCATCCTATGATGAAGGGTTCGTCAGGCAGAGAGGAATCATATCTGCAAAAGATCTGATCCTGAGGAGACTGACTTGTGGAACATTCTCAATTCCTGATTAGAATGTGATATTAGTGTAGGATCAAAATGCAACTATAAAGTGACCAATAACATAACATAAACAACATTATTCTATAGTTGGACAGACACAGACAGAGATGCAGATGCAGACAGACGAAGACGCAGAAGCAGACAGACACAAACACTTACTGTTCTCTATCCTCCTGACGGAAACGGACTCGGTCGCGGTCCCGGTCCCGATCCCGATCACGGTCTCGGTCCCTTTCTCGTTCTCGTTCTCGATCTCGATCTCTATCCCGATCTCTGTCCCTCTCCCTATCTCTGTCTCGATCTCTTTCTCGTTCATACCGATCTCTCTCAGAACTGCCACGATCACCTCCTCCTCCTCGACCAAATGCATCATAATCTGAAATATGTGTTAAAAACATTAATGACACCAACAAAGACATGTTTCATAAGCCATAGAAGAATGAATGCCGTTTGTCACATACAGCTTAATCAATATTTAAAAAGAAACTGCTCCAGCATCAAAGAATGTTTGTTTGTTTGTTGTTTAACGCCGCACTCAGCAATATTTCAGCTATTTGACAGCGGTCTGTAAATAATCAAGTCTGGACCAGACAATCCAGTGATTGACATCATGAGCATCGATCCCAAAATTGGGATACGATGACATGCATCAACCAAGTCTGTGAGCCTGACCAACCGATCCTGTTAGTCGCCTCTAACGACAAGCAAATTCGCCGTTTACAGCAAGCATGGATTGCTGAAGACCTATTCTACCCCGGATCTTAGCATTTTCACTAGAGGCAAGACTAAAGACTTCTGTCCTGCAAGTGAAAGAATTTTGTTAAATGGAGCAATCTGCAGTGTTCCAGCTACTGTATGGCATATGATACTTCATCATGGAAGTCGTCAAACCAGAGGTTGACAGCATGAGCTCATTCCAGGCCATCTGGGCATGATGATAAACAATTAGCTAGGTCACACATTGTTACCATGGATCGTTATTTGTCAGCTCTGACGAGCATGAAGTACTATTCTGCCTCCAAATCCGCATCGGTGCTCAACTGCCATGGAAAACTAATATTCATTTTTAAGGCATGCCTACTACATGTTGTACATCCCACAAGTGATTGTCTGTCTTCCCCAAAGGAAATACTCCTGGTATTTCCCCACCCTACACAGGCCTCACCCCTAGACTCCCTGCTTCTCTCTGATGAGCGTGAGTCAGACATCTCCTCGGATGGCCCGCGGCCATGCCCGTAGTCTATGACGGCCGGAGCCTGGTAGGGTTGAGCTGGGCCCGGGGAGTCTTCTGAAAGCAAAGGATGAGGATGTCAGTACAGGCACTGGGTGAAACACAAAAATATTTCAGAAGAAACACAAAAACCTGACCATTTTAGAAACAAGAATCTTGATGGTAAGCATGGTTAGGAGTGGGTGGGCGAGTGAGTACAGTTTTACGCCACTTTATCAATATTCAAGCAATATCATGGCGGGGGACACCAGATATGGGCTTCACACATTGTACCCATGTCGGGAATCGAACCCAGGCTTTCAGCGTGACGAGCAAACACTTTAACCACTAGGCTACCCCACTCTCCCATGGTAAGGACAGGAGGAGGAAATATAATAAATACATGATGCTTCCAGATGTTTTATTACTTAGTGAAAATAACATATTGTGGAAGAACTCTATACAGGATTTGAAGGTAATAACACTACTTGTAATTGTAATGTTCACTTATTGTGCTGCAGTGAGTGAGTGAGTGAGTGAGCAAGCGAGTGACCCGGTGAGTGAGTGAGTGAGTGAGTGAGTGAGTGAGTGAGTGAGTGAGTGAGTGAGTGAGTGAGTGAGTGAGTGAGTGAGTGAGTGAGTGAGTGAGTGAGCGAGCGAGCGAGCGACCCAGTCCCCAAAATCCAAATTCTACCACTGTACCTTTACAATCTCCAACCTGTCTATGGCCATAGTCGATAGTTTCTGCAGGTAGTATGGATGGTCGGTCAGGGTACGTGTAGCGCTCCCTTGCTTCTGGGTATCTGTCAGGGGGGTATGCAGGTCTATCGAGAGGGGTGTCGGAATATCGTGAGCGATACGGATCACGATAATAGTCATCAAATCTGAAATACAACAGTAACCATAGTAACACATCAGTGGTTTCAGCCCTTCGTCCTGAGCGATACGGATCACGATAATAGTCATCATATCTTAAATACAACAGTAACCATAGTAACACATCAGTGGTTTCAGCCCTTCATCCTTCATCCATAAAGTAAGATGTTAAAAGTTACTCAAAATACTGACAAAGTGTTGGTTGGGTACACTTTACACAGCATTACAGCTACACCTCAGCTTGTTATATTAATCTATGAATTAAGCCAACATGGTCATTCTCATTAAAATCAGATGTCTTACATCTACGATGCCTCCATAGGTCGCGTCGAGTGCACCTGGAGTAAACAAATGTTCTTCACTCTTGCGTGTAGATACCATGGTGCTCAGAAACGACAGGGTTCATTAAATATCCACAACAATAATGGCTTAGTCCTACTTATCTACATTCCGAACTTGTTGACTAAGTTCGTTTTCGAGATACAGAAATCAGATTAGAAAGTTCACCTGACGTGACTTCTTGTGGAGGAGGCATCAGATCTTCACACATAGAAGCATCATACCGGAGTAAAACATCAGACTTTAATGAGACTGGGTGAAACCCATGAACGCAGAGTGCTAACAGATGTAGGGTCGTAACGGGGCCACATTCAAACCCATAAGCGGATCAGATGGATTTACTGATGCATCCATTCATTTACATCAATGGATACGATATACAATATGTCTCCATATCTGTCAATGCATGTTTAGTTCTGTATAGATTTTCAAAAAGGAATATTTATGAAGTTGTGAAATAACCCAGCCTGACAATCCAGTGATCATAAGCATCCCCACAATTGGAACCAATGACATGCATCATCCAAGTCCGCGAGCCTGACCACCCGATCTCGTTAGTCGCCTCTTACGACAAGCATAGTGGTCTTTTACGGCAAGCATGTGTTGCTGAAGACCTGTTCTACCCCGAATGGCCTAGTGGTACAGCATGTCAGTAAAGAAAATGCTAAATCTGACTGCATAACACAACCAGAAGGAACATGGAGTAAGCAGGTGAGGTGAAATTGGGTTTAACGTCGCGTCCAAGATTATTGCAGTTATATAGCGACGTGCGTGTGTGTGTGTGTGGCTGCTTGTACTAGTCCGGACTGATGCTGATTTATAGTGCTAGCACACTGAGATACCATGCCGCAGTTTAACACGAATACCTCACTCTGACACACAATACTGACTCCGAGCTGACCAGTCCTTGTTTTAGCCCCTTAATGCCGAGCGCCAGAGAGGGTAACAACAAGTACCATCTTTCAACGTCTTTTGGTGTGACGAGGCCGGGAATGGAACCCCGGACCTTGCGCTCTCCGGGCGGACGCTCTACCACTAGACCATGGAGTCGGTCCATGGAGTAAGCAATCATACAACTTTAACACTAACTGGTTGATTGTATGACTACATGATAGCTGGACCCCATGAACCAGAGAACAAATAAAAATAACAAGCCATTAAGTATTACAATATGCATCATCATGTGATGATGTATCATGACACGCCTAATGACAAGGAAAACCAGTTTTTTTTAGTTAATGGCCACACTCAGCAATATTCCAGCTATATGACAGCAACCTGTAAAATAGAACCAGACAATCCAGTGACTTGATATAGTGAGCAATGATCCACGCCTACGGGGTACGAGGGCATTCTATCAACCAAGTCACTGAGCCAGACCCTCCATTTGGTTGCCTCTTACCACCAGCATAGGTTGCTGGGGACCTATCTTAACCCAGAAGCCCCAAGGTACGAACAGCATAGATTGCTGGGGACCTGTTCTATTCTGGAATCCCCATGGTACAACCAGCACAGGTTGCGGGGGACCTATTTTTACCTGGAATCCCCATGGTCTGACCAGCACAGGTTGCTAAGGCACAGGCTGCTGAGGACCTATTCTAACCCGGACCAGCACAGGTTGATGGGGACCTATTCTAACCCGGACCAGCACAGGTTGATGGGGACCTATTCTAACCCGGACCAGCACAGGTTGATGGGGACCTATTCTAACCTGGACCAGCACAGGTTGATGGGGACCTATTCTAACCCGGACCAGCACAGGTTGATGGGGACCCATTCTAACCCGGACCAGCACAGATTGATGGGGACCTATTCTAACCCGGACCAGCACAGATTGATGGGGACCTATTCTAACCCGGACCAGCACAGATTGATGGGGACCTATTCTAACCCGGACCAGCACAGATTGATGGGGACCTATTCTAACCCGGACCAGCACAGATTGATGGGGACCTATTCTAACCCGGACCAGAACAGGTTGATGGGGACCTATTCTAACCCGGACCAGCACAGGTTGATGGTGACCTATTCTAACCCGGACCAGCACAGATTGATGGGGACCTATTCTAACCCGGACCCCCAAGGGATGCACGTACCTGTCTCTGTCCCTGTAGGAGTCGCTGTAGGGGTCGCTGAAGGGGAATCGATCATATGCTGTAGGGGGTGGGGGAAGGGGGGGCGGCGGATAGCTCCTGGCTTCAGGACGGTCATAGTAGGGGTCCCGCCGTTCAAAGTACGGATCTCGTAGAGCATACGGGTCTTCTGGATGAGGTGGAGGAATTCTGGGTGGGTAATCTCGATTGAAGGGCTGTAAAATATACATGTCTACAGATGTTTTCACAAGATTTTATCAAAACATTGATGAAATGTCAAAATTAAGATCATTAATAAGATGTAACATTCAACATGTTCAAGTGACTGAAACTGAATTTTATCCAATGTTCTTTTGTGAGTGCATTTAGTAGTTTTATACCGTTTCGAACAGTATTCCAGTTCCATCATAGTGTGTCAGTATAATGTGGGAGGAAAGCCTGAAGTGATGCAGGTCTCAGACGTTTACAACTTTTGTGAAACCCATGGGCATGGGTATGGTGCTGACAAACCTAGAAACATAATCGGGGCAAACTTGAACCCACGATCATAGGATTCTGGCATGCCCAAGGGACGCAACGCTGCACAGCGAATTGCGGCACCCTAGATGACTTGACCACTCCCTGTTCTTGATGAACTAGATAACAAGACTATTTCCAATTTCCTTAGAAGGTCAGCCACTCTTTCGGATGTGGGCTGGTGGACGAGAGATATGATTGTTCTTATCCAATCCTCCACAGCAGCCATTGTGGCCACAGAATCCCAACCATGTTCTTACCTATGTGTCTCCTTCAAGCCTGGCTACTAAGGACCTGTAATGGCCTAGAATCCCCAGTGAGACCTGGACAAAGACTAAGTGTATACTGGCTCAACAGTATTTCAGTTATAACACCAATGATTTCAGCATCATGTCACGCTTTCTGCCTAAATGTTACATGTTTTCCACCTTGGTGAAACCAACAAGCTTGGGTATGGTTCTGACAAGCCTAGGTTGGTTGGTTTGTTGGATGGTTGGTTGGTTGGTTGTTTATCGCCGCATGACAGACAGCATGATGAGCATCGATCAACGAAATTTACAAATCTAGGAACATGGTCAGGTGACATCTGGAATTCGAACCTGTAAAGTTTCTGGCATGTCTAAGGGAAGCAACTCTGCACAACAAATTGTGGTGCCTTAGTCTCTGGAGATGACGGGGCCAACTGGGCCCTCACACCCCCCTTTCCCTGGACAAGCAAGTGAGTTTATACTTACATCATAAGGAGGCCAGTCTGCTTTGGGCCTGTCTGGAAAATTGTCTTCCGATGGGTAAGGATCACGTTCATCTTGACCAAATCCCCCTCTTCCCCTTGCTCCACGACCTCTACCCCATGACCCACCACGTGGAGGTCGTCCTCTTGGACCACCACGACCGTGGGAATTCCAAGTGTCTCCAAAATTGCCTTCAAAGTTCCTGTCAAAATTTCCTTCTAGGTTCCCGTCAAAATTTCCTTCTAGGCTCCCGTCAAAATTGCCTTCAAAGTTCCTGTCAAAATTGCCTTTAATGTTACCTTCAATTTGACCCTCCTGAAGATGAGAAAAAATAATATATGGATGCAATGTTCAGTAGACATGTGGAAGAACATTTAGAGAATTCCAAAATAATAATTAACAGACTGACAGGTGCAAGGACTTACTTGGTTAATGAAACACACACGGGACAGATTCTTGATTTCAATAACCGATCAAAAGGGCCATCCATAGATCTACATAAAAAATTGTGGCCTTGTCAAGGCTATCCCTGGAAAAGCGGATCAGAAGACTTTCCTTGAGATGGTTTCCTGACTATTAACATGATGAAGGTGTGTTCATACTCTTAACTTGTGTTTCCAGCTGTATTTGAGAGGTAGTGAGTGAGTGAGTGAGTTGGGTTTAACGCCGCTTTTAACAGTATTCCAGTTATATCACTGCGTGTCAGCTTAATGTGGGAGGAAAGCCCGAAGTGATGCAGGTCTCAGACGTTTACCACTTCGGTGAAACCCACGAGCACGGGTATGGTGCTGACAAACCTAGAAACATAATCGGGGCAACTGGGATTCGAACCCACAATCATAGGTTTCTGGCGTGCCAAGGGACGCAACTCTGCACAGCGAATCGAAATACAACATTAAAACCTGATCAACATGCAAAAGAAAGCCCCCCAAAATCTTTTGATGGACAGTGATGTCTTCGTGTCCATTAAAACTGGCAGTGGCAAGTGCCTTACTCATTTCATTTTTCATTGTCTCGACTTTTGATTGGTAGGTAAAATGAAAATCAAGGGAGGGTAATCTGAGCTTGCGAGAACCATGACCATGGACCCAGGGGCAAGTGTGGGTAATGCAAGCCCTGGACATATTGAGGATGGGTGTTTTCAGAAGCAGTGTACTACACACAAGAGTTTAATGTTAGTTTACCTGTTTTATAGGCGTCTCATCATTATCATCCTGATAGGACACAAGGCCTGGTTTGCTATCTTCATCCACCTGCTGTTCACCAGCCCCTTCTTCTTCTTTTTCTTTGGCCTCCATCTTTACAGCCAAAGGGAACAATGGCTTGTCCTGACTGGGTGTGTCCAGTAGTCCTGCTGGCTGATCTGATGGTGATCCTTGAGAACCATGAGGTGATGGTCCTCGAGGTCCACCTAGACCTGGAGATAGACCTTGAGGTCCACCCAGGCCTGGAGACGGACCTCGGGCTCCACCAAGACCTGGAGATGATCCTCTTGGTCCACCAAGACCTGGAGATGATCCTCTTGGACCAACCATTTGGCCTGGTGCCTGACCTCTTGGACCTCCCATTTGGCCTGGTGCTGTTCCCCTTGTCCCACCCCTACCAGGGGCTTGACCTCTTGGTCCAGCCATACCAGGAGGTGGACCTCTTGGGCCACCCATCTGACCTGGTGCTTGACCCCTAGGGCCAAACTGTTGTCCTGGTGACTGACCTCTTGGACCACCTTGACCTTGTGCCGGGCCCCTTGGACCACCTTGACCTTGTGCCGGGCCCCTTGGACCACCTTGACCTGGTGCCTGACTTCTCGGGCCACCTTGACCTGGTGCCTGACCTCTCGGGCCGCCTTGACCTGGTGCTTGAAACCTGGGGCCACCTTGACCTGGAGCCTGACCTCTTGGGCCACCTTGACCGGGAGCCTGACCTCTTGGGCCACCTTGACCTGGGGCCTGACCTCTTGGACCACCTTGACCTGGGGCCTGACCTCTTGGGCCACCTTGACCTGGGGCCTGACCTCTTGGGCCACCTTGACCTGGGGCCTGACCTCTTGGGCCACCTTGACCTGGAGCCTGACCTCTTGGGCCACCTTGACCTGGAGCCTGACCTCTTGGGCCTCCTTGACCTGGTGCCTGGCCTCTTGGGCCACCTTGACCTGGTGCCTGACCTCTCGGGCCACCTTGACCTGGTGCCTGACCTCTCGGGCCACCTTGACCTGGTGCCTGACCTCTTGGGCCACCTTGACCTGGTGCCTGACCTCTCGGGCCACCTTGACCTGGGGCCTGACCTCTTGGGCCACCATAACCAGGAGGTCCAGGCTGAAAAAAGAAGAAGAAAAAACACATCAGCCCAAGAAGCTAAGAGTGAGTGAGGTAAAGTCTAAAATCAAGACAGGGTCAGCAGAAATTGTCACAATGGGGAATCGAACCATGGTGTTTGGCTAGAGGAGCAAACACTTCAACCACAAGGCTACCCCAGAGCTCCCAAAACCATAAGAACCTGACTTGAGGTGAAATGGGGTTTAACGTCGCGTCCAAGATTATTGCACTTATATAGCGACGTGCATGCACGTGTGTGTGTGTGTGTGTGTGTGGCTGCTTGTACTAGTCCGGACTGATGCCGATTTATAGTGCTAGCTCACTGAGATACCATGCCGCAGTTTAACATGAATACCCTACTCAGACACAGTATACTGACTCCGAGCCGACCAGTCCTTGTTTTAGCCCCTTAATGCCGAGCGCCAGACAGGGTAACAACAAGTACAATCTTTTAACGTCTTTTTGTATGACGCGGCCCGGGATCGAACCCTGGACCTTCCGCTCTCCGGGCGGACGCTCTACCACAAGACCACGGAGGCGGTCAGAACCTGACTTGAAATGAACATGTTCGAAAATAAAGGAGAGTCCTAGTGTCAGAGAGGGAGCAACACATGCAAATGGCCCAGAGAACACATTTTTTGGCATTATATATGGACAATTCACAGTGAAATCTAACTGTGAAGGGAAGACATCTTGAATATCTTTAGTGAGTGAGTATGGTTTTACGCCCCTTTTTAGCAATATTCCAGCAATATTACGGCGGGGGATACCAGAAATGGGCTTCACACATTGTACCCCCCATGTCGGGAATCGAACCCGGGTCTTTGGTGTGACGAGCGAACGCTTTAACCACTAGACTACCCGACCACCCCTTGAATATCTTTAAATACTGACATCATTTTAAGTGTTTAAATAGGTTAGACAACTCAGAATTGAAATAGAACCCACGGCACAACCCATTTCAATGATTAGGCATCAGCTCTGATACTTAACTCAAGGTGTGCAGTTTACACGACTACTGAGTTATCTCCCTTTCTTACAGGCTGCATCAAGCTCCTCACAGCGATAGCCCATTCGCGGAGCTCTCTATACTATCGCTGCCACCAGTCAAAACTCCCCACTGTGAATAGGTGGCCACAACCATGCTTGGAGTTGAACTCGCAACCGAATGACCTTTATGATTACCAACAAGTGACGACTGTCGTGACGCCGAATACACTTACCCCTGCTAAATTACTTTGTTTGTTTGTCAGTTTGAATTTCTGTTTCATTAAAACTATCGTGTTATTGATATAGTGAGGATAAGGGAGAAGTTGGTTGTTTTTCCGTTAGTCTGCAATCTCGAACCAATCTGATTATCAAAACAACAAAGTAAATTCATCTGGAAAACATGGTCAGTTGTGAACCTTTTCAAAATGAAATATGATGTCATTCCCAAAGACATAAACAAAAGGATAAACGTTACTACATTTGGGGTAAGAGGGCAAATTTCAAGATTTTTGTAATGGCCGCGCCCACACTAATGGCAGCGATGTTACCGAGGGGTAACGAAGGTGTCACGCGCTGGGAAGGAGATTGCAGGCTGCATTTGACAAGGCAGTACTTCCTGTTTTGTGCGAGGATAAACATGCAGTCTATCTATACTGAACAAAGTTAGGGATCATGAACATTTTGGGGGCATCTTTTGGTTGCACTCAAGACACAATTTCATACAAATATCCCCAAAAATATCATGAATATTTTTTGTTCAGTATATATGTACTGTAATATTTTGTCTTGAATCATGAAGCATGATGACCTAATTATTTCCTCCGCATTATCTCCCCCTGCCTGACTTGTCTCCCTTTAACAATCAAATTGTTGTGTGATCAGCTTTACGTACCATCCTTGAGCCTCCATAAGGGTATGGCCCTGGTCCTCTTGGGTTCCTGAAAAGTAATTTACAAGAAATACAAATGGGATTAAAGAATAATTTCAACACGACTTCTCTATCATAACTCAATTATTGCTAAAAAGATATGAGTGAGTGAGTTGGGTTTAACGCCGCTTTTAACAGTATTCCAGTTATATCGCGGCGTGTCAGCTTAATGTGGGAGGAAAGCCCGAAGTGATGCAGGTCTCAGACGTTTACCACTTCGGTGAAACCCACGAGCACGGGTATGGTGCTGACAAACCTAGAAACATAATCAGGGCGAACCGGGATTCGAACCCACAATCATAGGTTTCTGGCGTGCCCAAGGGACGCAACTCTGCACAGTGAATCGCGGCGCCTTAGACAACTGAGCCACCCGTGCCCCCTAAAAAAGATATGAAAAATAATCATTATCATTGATTACATATATATATATGTACCCACCTACAGAGAAACGCGACTACCATTCATGTTGGTTAATATATGAAGAATTATTTACAGTCAAGTCTCATTAATCCGACACTCGTTAATCCGACACTAATGATGGGAACCGATTAAATCAGTGCTATTTAGACCCGTTAATCCAACAGTCTCGCACTCCGACTCAAACACACCTAATTTGCAACAAATTACCAAAATCACTCATTAATCAGTCTCGTTAATCCGACACAGTGATCAGTGTACTCCGTAGTCATCTTCCCGCGAGTACACAGACCCTTGATTTGATGCGAGACGAGTCGGCGAGTAGCTGCATATTTCAATGGCTGCAGAGATAAACTTGCTTAACAATAAACAATTACTGCTTAAAATAAACAAAACAGGATTAATCACATGCCTAGATTACCATAAAATCGGATACAAGTTCTCGCTACCGCTGAGGACATCCCATTACAAGTCACGTCAGAACGACCTTTCGCGAACATTGACCCACCAATGAAATTACTAACAGGAAGTTAACATTAGCCACTAAGAAAGCAGCTTTCTTAAGCATTGCAGCACTAGTTTCAAATTGGCGGCTTCCATTCCAGACTGTGCTTTAAAAAGTATTTTGCATGAAGAGGTTGCATGATTAGAAAACATATTCCGCTAACAATATAACATTACAATATGAATATTGCCCTTTTCCTCTTTTTTTATTACTTGTTTGAATTGTTATCTATCCTGTAGTTGTCCGATTTTCGATCACGAACGTTGATACTACCTAATTTGGTTTATCCGACATAATCATATGCAACCAACAATGGCGGATTAAAGGGACTTGACTGTATATTCAAGAGATATCACATTCGTTTGACATGCAATTGAACCTACTGGTATGTTGTGTGAATTAGCGCTCATGAACGCATCACATGTGAAGACACAGATCCATGATGCACCATTTGTCTCGTGCTGGATTAGCGTGTAAAGTTTGGAAATCACGTGCAGCATATCGTGATAAGAATATAGACATTCTGAGGTAACACTTGACTGATTGTTAGTTTTATCATGAAGTGGTACACATTGGAAACATTACTTCTTAACGTACACACTTCTCAGTGTTTCTATGGTTCACGTTTCTTTTGGTGGTGAGTATATGTGTCCTATATATATGTATTTATTATGCCTCAAAGTGAGTTTGACCAATAAGAGGGCAGAACTACTGACCCCATATGAGCCCGTATACCGTCAGTAAATTCCAAGATGGTTGTTACTGACCTAAAATTAGACCGTATACCGTCAGTGACAGCCATCTTGGATTTCCCAACACCCACCTCACATATTTCACATGGAAATTCTGGCACAGAAATTCGTTATTCAACACTGTTTTGTGTTTTACTATCATTAATTTTGATGTGCAAGGACGTTAATGTTTTTTAAAGGATCACGTTCGTGACTTCAATAAAGATTATATAATGTTAAAATTATCAACAAGGTATGGCCTCTGAGGTTTGAAGAGTAGTCTCCCTTTGACCCTTACCGTCTTAGGTTGTAAGCGTAAAGTTTTCATTTTGACATCATATTTGCGATAGTGAGTGAGTGAGTGAGTGAGTGAGTTTGGTTTTACGCCGCTTTTAGCAATATTCCAGCAATACCACGGCAGGGGGACACCAGAAATGGGCTTCACACATTGTACCCATGTTGGGAATCGAACCCGGGTCTTCGGCGTGATGAGTGAACGCTTTAACCACTAGGCTACCCGACCGCCCCTATTTGCGATAGGGATACCAGATGGTGTAAACTTTTCGGCATAATGAATTCGTTATGGTGTCTTTAGTCATGTTAGTTGCCGTGTACGGTGTCATATTAGGTTAGCAGAAAAATATAACTAATATGATTAGGAATCAATAGATAAAGTAAATGATTAATGTACTAAAGAAACGAAAAACTCCTGCCTTTATTAGGTAAACTTTTCATTCACATTTGACCATAAAATCCTGACTTACATTGGCCCTCCGAAACCACCACCTCGGCCCCGGTCTGCCATGGCCCCACGAGGTCCACCCCGACCTCTTGGCCATCCTTGAGGTCCACCACGACCTCTTGGACCTCCAGGAAACTGGCCCTGGTTTAGATCTTCCTGGAAGTCCTCGGCCATTTCTTCCTCTGGAACTGCCTCTTCTTCTTCTTCCTCCTCTTCTTGCCTGTGATAAATAGTGAAACAATAAATACTATGTGTCTCTGGGCTCATGCTAAACACGTAAACCAAACAATTAAAGGTTAGTTTGTTTGTTGTTTAACGCCGCACTCAGCAGTATTCCAGTGCATGTGACGTGCATTCACATATCTGTCTGTGTGTGTGGCTGCTTGTGCTAGTCAGGACCAATGCCGATTTCATAGTGCTAGCACACTGAGATACCATGCCGCAGTTTAACATGAATACCCCACTCAGACACAGTATACTGACTACGAGCAGACCAGTCCTTGTTTTAGCCCCTTAATGCCGAGCGCCATCTCAGAAAATGATATAAGGTAAGAAATGATACTTTTTACTCAGTTTGCGATACAAATTGCAATCCACTGATGCATCGGCGTATCGTTTCACTACTAGGAAGTATCTACATGAGCTTTCCTCCATGGTTTAATGAGTGCCTGGTGAAGAGTCGATAACTGAATTGAAACTAGATGTTACGTGGTCTGAAATGTTGCCATGCATTCTAAAGCTCAAGAGGAGAAATAGAAACTTCAGTATAACTTACATCTGATCCCCTGGACCGCCAAACTGAGGTCCACCGAAGCCTGGTCCATGGGGAGGTCCAAATCCTCCACGCATGCCTCGGCCTCTGTTCATGAAAGCCCCTCTTTGTCCTCTTGGTCCCTGGAATGGACCGCCTCGTCCCCTTGGAGCACCTGGGGCAAGTCCTCCCTGATGTTCATAGTTCTCCTCCTGTTCCTCCTCATTTGCCTCTTCCATTTCATCAATTTCTGGGTTTTCATGTCCTTCAAAGGTGATATCCATTAAAGGAGTCGGTCCTCGCATTCTATTTTGATGAGGACCCCTTGGTTGAAAACGTGGTCCTTGTCCTCTCTGGAACCTCTGCACATGTGGACCTCTTGGCCCTCCCCACCTTGGACCGCCTGGTCCTTCAAAGGAACCCCTCAGACCACCAAATCTGGGACCGCCAAATTGAGGCCGTTGGCCCATTTGTCCAAAATTCTGATTCTGAACAGATGGATCCTCTTCTCCATAATCTTCAACAGTTTCCTCTTCTGCTTCAGCTTCTTCTTCTCCTTCATTTCCTTCTTCCTGCTGTACAAACTGTCCTTGCATTCCAGGTCCTTGATGGCGGAAACCTGGACCTTGATTAGGACCACCTCTACCTCTACCACCCTGGAAAGGAGGCCTGCCTTGAAAACCATGAGGACCTGGGGGTCTTTGTCCTCTAAAGTTTTGGTTCGGAAATCTTGGCTGTCCTTGAAAACGAGGACCTCTTGGCCCAGGGAATCTGTTCATATCTTGCTGGAACGGCTGGTTACCATGGTTACTTGGAGGATATCCTTGTTGGTTTCCATAGTCACCTTCCTGTTGTTGCTCTTCATCCTCATCACCAAAACCTTCCTCCATATCATCTTCATTCAAATTGTCCTCCTTACCAGCCTGCTCCTCAAAGTTTTCAGTATTGGTGACTGGACTTCCCTGGAAGCCTTGATTCAGAGCCTGGTTGGGAAACCGGGGTCGATTTCCTGGACCACCAAATCTTTGATTCATTGGCTGTTGATTGGGAAAACGACTCTGAGGTCCACCAAATCTAGGAGTGCCGAATCTTGGAGGTGGTCCTTGAAAATTGCTAGGGCCCCTGATGCCTTGCTGACCCGGGAATTGCTGGTTGCTTTGCTGTCCGGGAAATTGCTGGTTGCCTTGCTGTCCAGGAAATTGCTGGTTGCCTGGGGGTCCCTGTGGAGACTTTCCTGGGAATTGCTGTTTGCCTTGGGCTACCTGTGGAGACTTTCCTGGGAATTGCTGGTTGCCTGGGGGTCCCTGTGGAGACTTTCCTGGGAATTGCTGTTTGCTTTGGGATTCCTGTGGAGACTGTCCTGGGAATTGCTGGTTACCTTGGGCACCCTGCTTCGACTGTCCTGGATACTGCTGATAGCTTGACTGAGATTCTTCAGGTTGTTTTGGAGCAGGTTTTTCACTTTCTCTTTGTTTCTCTATGGCTGTCTTACGATCCTGGATATCTTTTCTCCTGCTTTCCATCTGTTGTTCATACTGCTGCCACTGCTGCTCATACTGACGAAACTGGTCTTTGTTGGGATGATCTGAAAAACAGCATTACAGTCCATACAGCTTTGGGGGCGGTCGGGTAGCCTAGTGGTTAAAGCGTTCGCTCGTCACACCGAAGACCCGGGTTCGATTCCCAACATGGGTACATTGTGTGAAGTCCATTTCTGGTGTCCCCCGCTGTGATATTGCTGGAATATTGCTAAAAGTGGCGTAAAACCATACTCACTCACTCACTCACTCAGCTTTGGTTTTTTTAAGGCTTTATTCAGTAATATTCCAGCTATGACAGTGGCCTGTAAAAGTAAATCTGGACCTTAAAAACCAGCGATTGATATTATGAGCTACATCCATGCTGTCAGGGAAAGATGACATTCTATCAAGAAAGTCATCCATTTCAGTTGACCATTCATGACAAGCATAGTTTACTGGGGCTCAATTCTACACAGAAACCCAAAAGGATTGTATGATTGAAACAGATAATTTCAGTGATCAATTAAGATTTTTGGTTTGGTTTTTGTTTTACACCGCACTCAGCAATATTCCAGCTATATGACGGCGGTCTGTAAATAATCGAGTCTGGACCAGACAATCCAGTGATTGACATCATGATTGATCCACGCAATTGGAATCGATGACATGCATCAACCAAGTCAGCAAGCCTGACCCTCCGATCCCGTTAGTCGCCTTTTACGGCAAGCATGGGTTGCTGAAGACCTATTCTACCCCGGATCTTCACGGGTCGATCAATTAAGAAATGTCAGGTTGTTAAGAAATGTCAGGTTGTTGATCATACTTTCATTAACACATGGAGTGGTCAAATTGATGGAAGTTGGCAGCATCTTACCATTGTAAATTTTATGCAACTAGAAAATAGGGGTGACTATTGGTCTGGAAATCACTATTGCGATAACTATTGATATTGAAAGAAACTATTGCGATAACTATTGATATTGCAAGCAACTATTGCGATACATATCGATAGTTTTCAGTGTATCATTTTAGACAGATTTTAGAGTTGAATTTAACCTTGGAAAAGAAGTTTCCTTTGAATGTGATAACCATAACAACAAATTAAAAGTAAAGTTTGAGATATGACTGATGTGTTTTTTCTTTACCCTAATAATTTAAGAAAAAGAAACTTACCTTACCACGTGTTAATTACTACCACTCATGATCAAAAGAAAAACAAATTTGAACAGCATTGCATGTATTTTATTGATATGGTAAATACAATCGAAACTATCGATATTCCTAAATGAAATCGATACTATTGATCAGAAACTGATTTAACAATCAATTTATTGACTTTAAGTGCTTACCAATAGCAATATATCGATATTTCTGTTTATCGTGACACCCTACTAGAAAAATTAGTAAAATCTAAATATTTTTTACATTTGTATACTTATCCTGCATTACTCCGTATTGCATTTACTGCTATGTTTGACAGAGAGACGAACTGTGTGAGATCCAGCTGCTGAAGAAAGTTGTCCCAACCAGCCCAGGAGGCAGCGCCCTCTCACAGTCGGCACGTGACCCGGAAGTCATGACGTCACACAAAAAGACATAACTGCTTTAAACATAACATCTGAAACTTCGTGGGGAGGTAGCGTAGCGAAAGGGAGGGCACTTAGACTTCGTAATGCAGGATAAGTATACAAATGTAAAAAATATTTAGATTTTACTAAATTTTTTAACTTATCCTGCATTACTCCGTATTGCATCTTTATCAGACGGCTTGGCTGGTGGGCATACCTGCAGATGTGAACCATATTAAACCCTCGTCAAGGTCCGATGAATCCGCACCGCATACAAGTGATGACCGGAACATCTACGACCATTCCTGTCTTCAGGAAACAAGAGTCGATGCAAAAACGAAACGCCCGAATAGGTAACCGACATACAATGAGGCGTGTAGCCAAAATATATAACTTACCGAAGAGCGAAAGCGAAACGCAGTAGAACCCTCTAATCTGAGGTGATAAACACCAGAGAGTTCGACGGGCCCCGCTCGGGGAATCGAAGAATCAGCGGCGTCGGCGGCAAAATCTACGACCAATCCCAAGAGCGAATGCGAAACGCAGGAGAGCCCTCTAGGCTGGAGGCAAGGAACACCGGTGAGGTCGACGGGCACCGCTCAGGTACCAGAGAAGCAGCGGCGTTGGCGTCGGCGCCGGTGTCCACATCTACTACCATTCCTGTCGTCAGGAAACGAGAGTTGATGCAAAAAGTAAAACCCGGATAGGTGACAGCAATAGAATGAGTCGGGTAACCCAAAACTAAAACTGACCTAAGAGCGAATGCGGAACGCAAGAGAGCCGTCTCGTCTAGGGTGATAAACACCAGAGAGGTCGACGGGCCCCGCTCAGGGTATCGGAGAATCAGTGGCGTCGGAGATAGATGACCTGTTGGGCTACAACCAGGGACCAAAACTGTGAACGCTGGCGACAACTTTCAAGGCTACATCACTGAAGTAGTGGTTGGTGAAGGCGGTGTCCGATCGCCACGAACAGGCTTCCCTGAACGACGGGATGGAACAGTATACCGTGAAGAACCAGTGTAAATACGATCGCCCTGATCTCATTTTATTTCAGGTAATAGCCTTTGGGGGGAGGGTCCAATCCGGCGGCTCATACGCTTTAAGGATGACCGCCCGGAGCCACAGGGAAAAGTATTCCGGCTGACCAACGACAGCGACGAAGGGGAGACCGGCAGAAAAAAGGTGTTTCCTAGACTTGCGGCAGTCTTTAGATCGTAGAATAACCTTCAGTGCCCTTACTGGGCATAATGACGCTCATCCTCATCCTCGGCACCCACACTGGACGAGGGGGGAGGGGACAAGGAATGATCTATCAGGCTGTCCTGGGAGTTGAGTCTTTACGCTGACGTCCCAGTACGGTCCATGATGAACGGCGCCCTGGGTACCGCATTCGAACCGGGCATGGGAGACGTCGAGGGCGTGCTGTACATGGACTCGAGCGGCAGTAGTCAAAACCAGTAGAAACACCCGTCTTCTACTTAAGGTCGTAGAAGGAAGACGAGGGGAGTGGTTCGAAGGGCGTTGAAGACCACATTCAGATCCAACGCAGGCGGTCCGAACTTGGTATTCAGGTCTTCAAGACTGAACGAGCGCAGCCAGGCCCGTAGGTCGGGAATTTTCGTCTTTCTCCGATCGTCCGGGATGGCCAGAACGGAGTAGATGGCGACCAGGTATGTGGGGGTGGTAAGCCCTTCAACCGACGGGTGCTACACAAGTACAGAAGGAACTGATCCAGAATCTGCGGTGACGCTGTCATCGGATCCTGGTGTTTGTCAGAACAAAATGCCTGGAACAAGCATCATTTATCAGCATACAGTCCCCCTGTAGATGGACGGTGGGCTGAAGCAATAGCCTTGGTCGCTCTAGCCGAATAGCCCTTGGCTTTCTGCATGTGTGTCAGGCGTGCAGACGATAACATGCGGGTATGAGGGTGTGGCAACAGACCGTGTGGTTGGACCACACAGGAAGTTCCAGGGGTTGTCTCTGGCTATGTTTCGGAGGTCGATAACCCAACTTCTGGCTGACCAATAAGGCGAGACCAAAGTCAATGGCAGGGGTCGAGTGGCCTGGATCTCTGAAGAACCGTGGGAGGGAGAACCGGAGTCGGAAAAGCGTACGCGCGTAATCCTTCTCAGGAACGATGGAAGGCTTTGACTGCCACAGCGGTCGTATCCGGCACAGGTGGAATGGAAGACGACTGCTGGCCACATTCAGATATGAGGCAAACAGATCTAGGGTTGGGGTGTCGACCGTTTCACATAGTCTGGCCCGAGGCGCCGGAGAGCGTGAGGCGTTGGAGAGCTTGAGGCGCCTGGAACGCCTAAGATGGGGATTCTCGGGGGCGCCGGTCGAGTTTGTAGCGCCGGGAGAGGGGCGAGAACTCTGGGTCCGCAAACACCACACTACGGTGACGTCGTCAGTGGACACGATCAACAGGGCGTGACCGAGAATGCACTGTCAGCAAGTGCCGTCCTGGATAAGCATTTATCTCGAGGCTGTTGATGTGCCTATGGTGTTGATCTCTGGATCACAGGTGGTCACAATGTGGGCTGGCGTGGGCCACTAGCCACTGACAAGGTGGCAGGGGAGGTAGTCAGCAACAGGGGTCTGCGATTGCGTACCGTCGGTACGATTCGGAAAAAGGTGTGATCGCCTGCGAGCCAACCTCAAGTAGACGAAGTAAACTAGCTTCACAATCGACCGCCGGGGCATCGACGTAACCGGGTAGTAGGAAGTCGAGGCAATATGGCCATTGCACGAAGTAATGAGATCGTTTTCATCCCTGAAGCGGCGTATAAGTACTCCTGTTCTTATATCGAGGTGACGATGGAGGACGACAACACGATACGAGGCAGGTATGCAACAGGGGTCAGTGGGACGGCCGAGGGACTTTAAGTATCAAATCGACACTGTGTCCGGTAGTCAAGGCGGAAGATAGGAAGGTGTCGTAGTCGAAAAGATCAAACCGGACGAAGGAAGGCGATCTTTTCCATCCCTTGAACGCCTATAGGCGCTATCGTTCTTATAGCGAAGGGTTGATGAAACAAGGTTCCTCGTGACAGCCGTGTTGGTAGAGGAGGTCTATTGTTTCCAACATCCGTGCATGGATGGACTGCGACAGGCGCCTGGTTGAGTGGTATCACCAAGCGTACAGGTAGACATGGAAACCAATCTGTAGAAATACATGGCACCCCTTGCCATGGTAAGTTGACCTAAATCCGGTCGGAGTTGTTGACAGTCCGAGTACTTGACACGTGACATGTAAATCACTCTGCGCAGTAGCCGAGAAAACCGCCTTGGAGTCGGAACTGAGGTGCAAACTCCACACACAGACAATCCTCAATGAACTGTGTGAGAGACGATCAAGTGGTGTACCCGAGTTTTGCGATAAAACACGGAACCCCATGGGCGTCGTGTAAAACCCGGGGAGCGCCGAGGAAGAGTCTCTCTCAGGAACGCTGGCGCTAGGGTAGGGTAGAACAGCGTTGATGTCTGCGATGTCGACGAAGTAAACTCTTTGTAAGTGGATGTCGTCATCGAATCTGATACAGACGCTGTTCACATGACGCTCTGTTTCGATGGAAACCCGCAGGTCATCTCTCCGGAATCATAGCGCTTTAAACGACGGGATTATGGATAACGTCTCAGTGGGCAAGTTGAATCAGACCAACTGTCTATTGGTTGAAATGATTCCACCCAGGAAGTAGTACGATAGTCACGATCCCGAAGACCGACGGGAGAGTAGCGACAGGAGCGGCGACAGTTGTTTCACCATGCTTCTCCGTGTGACGAGTTATGAGACGGCAGCAAGAGAAGAGGGCAGTGGCGCCGGGGAGGCGATTGCCGATGGTGCCCCTTAAGCCGCAGTAGAAGATCGGATGGTCGGCTCGTTGATCTGAGCTTGATAAAGCTTGTTGATCTGAAGCTTGTTGAGCGCCGAAGACATCAGAGGATGCGGAGGCGCCGGAGCGCGGAGACATCAGAGGCGCCGAGACATCAGCGGCGCCGAGTCATCAGAGGCGCCGGTGGCACCGAGTCATCGGAGGCGCCGGGAGCGCCGAGTCATCAGCTTGTCATGAACAAGTCATGAAGCTTGTTGAGCGCCGAGACATCAGCGGCGCCGAGTCATCGGAAGCGCTGGAGGCACCGAGTCATCAGAGGCGCCGAGTCATCGGAGGCGCCGGGAGCGCCGAGTCATCGGAGGCGCCGAGTCATCAGAGGCGCCGAGACATCGGAGGCACCGTGTCATCAGAGGCGCCGAGACATCGGAGGTGCCGCGTCATCAGAGGCGCCGGAGGCGCCGCGTCATCAGAGGAGGCGCCGGAGGCGCCGCGTCATCAGAGGCGCCGGGAGCGCCGGGAGCGCCGTGTCATCAGAGGCGCCGGGGGCGCCGGAGACATCAGCGTTGACGGTGTTGGAGACCGTGAACGGTCGTATGTCGTGCCAGGGGAGGCAGACTCTACGTTGGGAGCGCTGGAGCCGCCGGTGGAGTAGGAGACCGTGAACGGTCGTATGTCGTGCCATGGGAGGCAGACTCTACGTTGGGAGCGCTGGAGCCGCCAGTGGAGTAGGAGACCGTGAACGGTCGTATGTCGTGCCATGGGAGGCAGACTCTACGTTGGGAGCCGCCGTGAAGCTCCGCTGAGCGCTGCTGCCGTCAACGTATGTGGGGGTCGACGAGCACGTTGAGCGAGGTGTGTCCTGGATACTCGCATGAGCTGAAGGATCACAGCGACGAATGACTGCAACATCGGCACTGCCTTGTGAAAGTACAGGGCGTCGTACAATCACGGCAGAAAGGGGCGGCCCCGGCCAGATTTGTTCCCGCGGCAACAAGTGCAGCGAGGCAGAAAATCTGGAATTTAAGCAAAACATAACTATGTGGCAAAGCCACAAAGTGCGGGAAGCATAATGTGTGGCCAATCACAAAGTATGGGAAGCATAAAGTAACTCAAAAACAGTATATTTTATTAAAGTTTATGAGATAAACAAGTACGCTAAAAGGGAGCGAAAAGGCAAAGCCTTAAGCAAACACGTAACCATGTGGCAAAACCACAGAGTACGGGAGACATAATGTAACTCATAAACTTCGTATTATATTGAAGTTTATGAGAAGAAACAATTACGCTTAGAGGTAGCGAAAAGGCAAGGCTTTAAGCACACCAAAACAACATACATAAATGTAATGTATTACCCAAGCCAAAGAGAGAATTCAAAACGCAGATCACGACATTACGTGGCCACGTGGTGAATGGCCAAAATGGCGGGAAAGAAAACAAAATGGCGGGAACAACATTGCGCCCGTAAATTACTGTGACGTGAGCCACAGACGAGCGATAAACGTTACAATTTACGAATGGGAAGACCCTAAGGTCACGGCCCATAACAGGTAACAATGTAGCAGCATATAATGAATGTAGAAACACGCAAAATATAAAAAACAAATAATAAGCTTTAATTTCCACAAGGGATACAAAGTACGTCCGTCCGTGGAGGTGACAAAGCAGTTATGTCTTTTTGTGTGACGTCATGACTTCCGGGTCACGTGCCGACTGTGAGAGGGCGCTGCCTCCTGGGCTGGTTGGGACAACTTTCTTCAGCAGCTGGATCTCACACAGTTCGTCTCTCTGTCAAACATAGCAGTAAATGCAATACGGAGTAATGCAGGATAAGTTAAAAAATTGAGTGAGTTGGGTTTAACGCCGCTTTTAACAGTATTCCAGTTATATTGCGGCGTGTCAGCTTAATGTGGGAGGAAAGCCCGAAGTGATGCAGGTCTTAGACGTTTACCACTTCGGTGAAACCCACGAGCACGGGTATGGTGCTGACAAACCTAGAAACATAATCGGGGCGAACCGGGATTCGAACCCACAATCATAGGTTTCTGGCGTGCCCAAGGGACGCAACTCTGCACAGCGAATCGCGGCGCCTTAGAAGACTGGGCCACCCGTGCCCCCACTAGAAAAATGAAATTCAAACCTTTTCTTTGAAAGCTTATTTTGAAACTAAGCACAAACAAGCCTCACCTTTATTCTGATCCTTCCACGAGTCGTACTGCTCCTTCCACTGCTTGTACTGCACATCAAACTCCTTCTCCTCGTCCAGGACAGCATCCATCTCCGCAGACGAAGGAGCAGCTGCTGCGCTGCCTCCTGCTACAAAGTGGGCGAGTCAGTGAGCATGGTGAGATGGGTTCAAGTCCCCTTTGTATAACAGTATTACAGTTATATCAGGGTATGGAAGCTTAAATGCTTAATGAGTGAGTGAGTGAGTTGGGTTTAACGCCGCTTTTAACAGTATTCCAGTTATATCACGGCGTGTCAGCTTAATGTGGGAGGAAAGCCCGAAGTGATGCAGGTCTTAGACGTTTACCACTTCGGTGAAACCCACAAGCACAGGTATGGTGCTGACAAACCTAGAAACATAATCGGGGCGAACCGGGATTCGAACACACAATCATAGGTTTCTGGCGTGCCCAAGGGACGCAACTCACAGCGAATCGCAGCGCCTTAGACGACTGGGCCACCCGTGCCCCCAAATGCTTAATGAGGGAGGATACATGTGATGATGATTTGGTGACTACAGGTATCTTACATGGGAAACAAGCCTTTTGTACGGCTTCAAAAAACATGGGTATAGGTCCCTACCCTTGTGTCTGACAATTAATAGTTTTACGGAGGTGGTGAGAGTTTCACAGCGCTTTTGAGTAACAACAAAACAAAAAAACATTGACAATGCATTAGATGGTTGGATTGAGCATGTGAAATGTTTTGTTGAGAACCCACATCAAATCACAGACTTCCATTCGTCATGTTCATGATTTTGAAGAACAGCAAAGAAAAGTGGCAGCCGATCAGCGTTTTCTTTATAAAACTGATACAATTTACAAATATCTTCATAAGTGAATTTATAAACTATCATGATTATGTCTAAAAGTAATAAAATATCCCAATATCCAATGAAATCTATTACAAAATTAACAAACAGAGAAATCCCACTTACGCTATGAACATGATGAATACAAAACAAGTTTAAGAACACATGATTCTTTTACATTACTATACTTAATCTGTCATGCCATGACAGATTAATCATATTTACATGACAAAAAGCAGGTGTTCTCTAATTTCTTGTGAGTAGTATACACTGCATATACAATGTCTACATTAAGTAAGACGAGTTCTATGGATGAACAATTTCTTTATTACAATTAGTGCGATGTTTCGGTGTAGATCCTAACACCTTTATAAAGCATGTCTACATTAGTTTTGGTCTTTACCTGGTGGCTGTGGCTGCAATGGCTGTGGCTGTGACTGTGGTGGCTGTGGCTGTGACTGTGGTGGCTGTGACTGTGGTGGCTGTGACTGTGGTGGCTGTGGAGGTGTTGGCTGTTGCTGGACCTGAGCTTGTCCAGACTGGCCTGGGTACGACTGGTATCCCCCTTGATAACCACCCTGGTACCCCCCTTGGTATCCTCCTTGATAACCTGCCTGGTACCCAATCTGTGGCTGTCCCATCCATTGGTTCCACTGAGTGTGCTGTTGTGTGTGCTGTTGTGTCTGCTGTTGTTTCTGCTGTTGCCACTGTTGAGCCTGCTTAGCTAATTCTGCCATCTTATTGGATTCTGCATCATCCTTAGGCTTCAGCTCCTGAAAGGTTTTTCACACTATTATATATATATGTTCCAGTGTCCAACCCAGAATTGAAAATCAAGGGGGGACTTGTCCCCCCATCATGTACAAAATAGGGGGGATTTTGAAAAAGTAGGGGGGATAACTGCTTTCTTAAAAAATGTCTTATTTTGTATTATGTACTGGAACATCATCATATAAAAGTGTAACAGATCAGAATAAAGAACTGCTTTTTTTTAGTCACTAGGCCCGGGATCGATTTCCCGTTCAGTTAGAGAAGTAATTACAGTGACTGTGGTTTCATCATTGTCTTTTTTAGAACATCTATTTTGATTAAAAAAGTCTGTATTTTTTTGTTTTTGTGCGACATTTTCACTATTCAAAAGATCGTCTGCAATGAAAGTCGGCGATTCATATTGTGTGATTTCAGAAACGAAACTAAAACGAACTAAAATGCTCAAAAATATTTTCAGAACTATTCAAGAAAGAATATTTATTGTCTTTTAACATCTTTTCAAAGGTTTTTGATTACTAAACAACAAAATACAACATATTTTTGAAGAAAGTTTTGATACTCTTTCTACTAAAGTAAATTAAATTTCGTTTCCCATGCAAATCCTGTCGATAATTTATTCCACAACCCAAGAGAAGTAACTCGTGTTCGAACTTCCGGTTATTATCGATCGGTCTTCGACAGTTGTTTACAATGTTTGCTGTGAACTGTCTTTCTTCGTTAATTGATTAAAGATTTAGTGAGTATTGAATCTAAAGGTAGGGATAAACAGCTGATAAAGTAAGTGACTGTTCAAGAAATTACAGTGCGCGACAGATCGCGCTTTGAGTTTTTTATGAGGGGCGATTTGATTTTTTTTAGCGTGAATCGCGCAATCGCGCGGTCTGGGTTGGACACTGATGTTCTTGCAGTCACTCCAAAATGCATCATAAATATAAGCAGTGTTCGACATAAGGCTTTCCTTGGATGCTCATGGTCTGCTGATATAATATTTGAACCAAGGGTGTGATTGTTAACCTTATAGTGCCTCACAGGCACTTTGGTGTGTATACTCCCAAGGGAGCTGAGAATGAAAATCAAGTGCACACTGATCTATTCACCAGAGTAATATTACTAATAATCATGATAATAATATTTCTAGTGCTTTGAGCGTGCTTCAACAGAATGGATGAAAGCTAAACATGCTAAAGCACATTACAAATATCCATTTATGAACTCACAATTGAAATCCGAATGGATTCGCCCGGTAAAGTGCACTACTCCTAATAACAATATCCATGTACAAATGATGTACTTATTTACCAGTCAATTACTTAAGATTTGCAGGGAAAGGCCTTTAAAAAAACCAAATGAGTCTCATTTCCGACTGAAATAGTCTTCATAATTAAAGATGAAACTCAGTCTCAATGAAGTCTGCAATACTAACCTTAGACTTCTCTGGGCCCTTCTGATCATTATCAGGAGCTGGGGGTGGGGGATCTGGTGGGAGAGGGGGTTTGTCATCTGAAGGCACTGGGGGCTCCACAGGCGGAGCTGGGTTCAGGCCATTTCCTGACGAAGAATCTATGGCGTCCACTTCTTCTTTAGGCAGGGGAGGCTTTTGACTAGGTGGTGGGGGTTGTGGAGGCTGGTTTGGTGGCACTGGTCCTGCTGGCATTTGAGGCATGACTTGTTGCTGCGGCCATTGTCCTTGTTGGTAATACCACTGGTACATATGTTGTTGCTGTTGCATTTGCAGTTGGGGGTTAACATACCCGCCTATAGAAGCCTGTTGCCAATTACCGTACATTGTTCTATCCGTCGTATAGCAGCGACTTCGTTCCTGAAACGTCAATTTTGAGTTATCATAGCCTCATGGTAATGATGGCGGTCTGTTAATATGGACCGAGTTATCTATCTTAGCGGAAGTGCATCAAATAAAATCCGGAATTCAAATTCCATATTCGGACCAAAATCAACCGGGCAGAACCATTAAACACTGCGAATATCTTTGATACTCGTTTCTTTTTCGTTATTACAATAAATAACAAATAATAAGGTTTAGAAATCATATCGTATCAATAATCAATAATTATAATTGTGATCTTGCATTGGAAGAGCCCATAAAAGGTAAAGGTTTTATCTGAGTATAGTATAGAAATCGTACCATATGTGTGTCTGAGCCGTTTCTTTGGACATTTAAGGCTGAAACAAGGGTTGGTGGCAAATGATGTTGGGTGTTATGATAGTACTTAGTTACGGATGAAACTCCGTGCATGAACTCGGTTTATTCCGTTACCTAAACCTAACTTTCGGCGGCAATGAAGTAGTGATTTTCCATGATTTCATTGTACCACGTGGCACAGTAAACGATTTCTTCGTAAAGTTGGGAAAGCATTTTAACATATCAATATATTTCTAAAGCAGCATTAGACAATAAATCTAAATAGTAGGCTGTTGGTGATTCTGAAATGAAGTGAAATGGGGTTTAACGTTGCTTTCAAGACTATTGCACTGATAAAGCGACGTCCATGCATGTGTGTGTGCGTGCGTGCGTGCGTGCGTGCGCGCGCTGCTTGTACTAGTCCGGACTATTGGCAGTTTTATAGTGCTAGCCCATGACTATGTAAATATAAAGAAGGAGTCAGATCATGCTTATGAGTCAAACGAATTTTACACTCACATACATGTCCATGAACCTGTTGCTTCTATTAGTCCGGGACCGCCTCCGTGGTCTAGTGGTAGAGCGTCCGCCCGGATAGCGGAAGGTCCGGGGTTCGATCCCCTGCCGCGTCATACCAAAAGACGTTAAAAGATGGTACTTGATGTTACCCTGTCTGGCGCTCGGCAATAAGGGGCTAAAACAAGGACTGGTCGGCTCGGACCAGTTCTTATTTAAGCCCTTTAATGCCGAGCGCGAGGCAGGGTAACAACAAGTACCATCTTTAACGTCTTCCGGTATGACGAGGTCGGGGATCGAACCACCGACCTTCCGCTCTCGGGCAAACGCTCTTCCACTGGACCAGAGAGTGAGTGAGTGAGTGAGTATGGTTTTACGCCGCTTTTAGCAATATTCCAGCAATATCACGGCGGGGGACACCAGAAATAGGCTTCACACATTGTACCCATGTCGGGAATCGAACCCACTAGACCAGAGAGGGGGTCAGGTTATTCTAAAAATGACAATTCCCTAAAAGAAATCCAGGAATTATTTATGCCCCCAGCTGAGACAAATACCATTATAATTTACAATATATCACCTATGAATGGACATTTTAAGACAGTAAAGAGTATGGCTTATTTTGTTGTTTATAATCCATGTTGGGATATTTTTCCCAGGACTGGCATGTTCTAGCTGATCATTGGCACAACCGAATACACTGTTCCACGCCAACTGTTTCTTTTATATTTGAAACTAGCGCACTAAACTAATATATTTAATGAGGGAATACCAGTTGAAACGAAATAAGCATGGCCTATTCGTGACCAACCGAATAGCTTCTTGCAGGTTACGGAAAGGGGCGAGTGGTGACGAATGAAGCATGGCCCATTCGTGACCAACCGAATAGCTTCTTGCAGGTTACGGAAAGGGGCGAGTGGTGACGAATGAAGCATGGCCATGCGAGGTGGAAGCACCGGTATGCCCCAAGGATTGTTCAGCTATACCATCTGTATTTTTATTTTGTTTCTCATTTTCCGCTTATCCGAAGTCACAATTTCGTAAAAAAAAATTTTAAAAACAAACATTTCTTTATTCATCCGCCAGCTCCTTCTGAAGCCGATCATTGTAGAGGGGAACCATGAGACAATCAGGATGTCCTGTAAACTTTGTCCCATAAGTTTAACTCCGTCCATCTATATTTCAAATGTTTTGTTTATTTGGTTACAACTAATATTATACCCCGTTCACATGCACAACATTTACTAACGTAAGTAATTTTGCACATGTGTAACTAAACATACGTGTGTATATGTAAATTTACTATGCGTTCACATGAAAAACATCTTAGGTGTGTAAATAAAGTATGTAAATTGTGTAAGGCACATCCACATATTCGTCAGTCTGTTTACGATTTTCAACACAAAACAGGGTTTTTTTCCAATTAAAGTTGAATGAGAAGAGATTTACTTCACCGAAAAGTTTCGCGTGAAGCGACGTGTGTTTGATTTAATTTGTAGACAAAGTTTTGACTCCTTGAAACCAAAAGAAAACACCGTCCGCTCAACTCGGTATATCCACATAAAAGTTGGCAACTGTTGACAATGTGTTTGGTGTAGGCTAAAGAACAGATGTTAATTAGATCATCCTCTTACGTTGACATAAACGTTCACATTGCAACATATACACACAGTGCAATTTTACGTTTACATTTGCATCTGCGCCAGACATGATGCAAATTTGCTCCTGGTGTAAATATACACACATGAGTAAACGCGTTCAAATGACAAGTATACTCACGTATGTATTTCTACACACGAATGCACATATACACACATATGTATAGGTGAGGTGAGGTGAAATGGGGTTTAACGTCGCGTCCAAGATTATTGCACTTATATAGCGACGTGCATGCACGTGTATGTGTGTGTGTGGCTGCTTGTACTAGTCCGGACTGATGCCGATTGATAGTGCTAGCCCACTGAGATACCATGCCGCAGTTTAACATGAATACCCCACTCAGACACAGTATACTGACTCCGAGCCGACCAGTCCTTGTTTTAGCCCCCTAATGCCGAGGGCCAGACAGGGTAACAACAAATACCATCTTTTAACGTCTTTTGGTATGACGCGGCTGGTGATCGAACCCCGACCTTCCGCTCTCCGAGCGGACACTCTACCATTAGATCACGGAGGCGGTCTCACATATGTATAGAGGCGCATGTGAACGGGGAATAGGTGACGCAGCTTACTATCAGATTGAATGTAGAGTATGGCTGATAGTGATGAACGCACAACCCTTTCTGTATTTACTAAAGGCCATGAAATGAGACGATATATCAGACGTCCTCTCTGTCCCCAAAATTCGAATCGAGCAAAGACGAAGCCAATAGAATTTGCTACGACCAGCCAACAGACAGGTGCGCCGCTATCAGTGATGAATATTACCTGATACCCGGCGTCAGGGCCAGGTGAAAACGATCCTTTTCACCAGCGCACCTGAGCTAAATTCCCATTGATTTTTACATCACAAACTGAGTTACGGCTTTCCGCGAATTTGGTGCAACTTCCTGGAAGGCCACTTACAAAGCCACAGCATGGACTCTCATCCCATCTTTATGTTCTTCTGGGTGAATATGATATCTCAGAGGCGATGAAATAACTTATTTTATGGTCTCCTATAGTATCAGATGAGCTTAATGCAGAAAAAAAAAATCAAATCATGCAGTTTGTTGCTTTGTCAACATAAACTAACTGTAAACTAATATGCGTGTTGATGATATGATGTTAATTCCCCGATAACAGACACATTCATCGAGTTGTCATCCTGATTGTAATCGCTACACATGAGCATTATGCCAACCCATGCATCAAGTGTTTATGTCACGATTTCGTCACACGTCCAATCTAGTAGGATATATTTTTAGACGAAGATTGTATTGATATTGATACTGTTCCTTTCTAAACAAGTCGACCTTGTACTTCTTCCGGGGGAGGGTTCCGGGTAGGATCTGGTGATCGCAATGCGTGACGATGTATCATCGCAGCCCGGCGGTGTGTATTCCATGACTGTGGGGCGACTTGAGGCTTTGAGGCTTGTCAAATTGTTTGATAGGCATTACTTAGAAGTTGACGGATGACAAGATAGACACAATTTTTATGGATAACAACTTCCTTAATACTGGAAAAAGCGACGTTTCGGTATAGATCCTTATACCGTTGTCAAGCAAGACTGAATGAGGTTGTTGTTGTTGTTGTTTTTGCATTAAGTGCTTAAGAGGTCGCCTTCTGCCTAGGCAATTTCGGCTGCCCTGTCCCTCTTTGGGACTCCTGTGTGTGAGTAGGGTACACATATCTATTGTGAGTTTGGTGTTCACATAATTTCTGTTTTTGTATTGATGTGATTTCTATTTTCTTATATTGATATGATTTCATTTCTATCCTTGGCTGCTCTGTTTATATACGTTCGAGTAGCTGTCCATCTCTCAGAAATAGAGTTAGTTTGCCCTTCGCTATTGCATCTCTTGGCTTTAGGAAATCTATGACATATAGCGGATCTAACTGCAATTAGGTTGTTGGTTGGTTGGTTTGTTGTTTAACGCCGCACTCAGCAATATTACAGCTATATGACGGCGGTCTGTAAATAATCGAATCTGGACCAGACAATCCAGTGATTGATATCATGAGTATCGATCCACGCAATTGGGATCGATGACATGTATCAACCAAGTCAGCGACCCTGACCACCCGATCCCGTTAGTCGCCTTTTACGACAAGCATAGTCACCTTTTACGGCAAGCATGGGTTGCTGAATACCTATTCTACCCCGGAATCTTCACGGGTCAACTGCAATTAGGGCTGGGGCTGGGGCATGGTCTTGACATTCTAGCAACACGTGATGAGGGTTGTTGTTGTTGTTGCATTAGGTGTTTAAGGGGTCGCCTTCTGCCTAGGCAATTTCGGCTGACATAGATGACAGTGATGAGGGACATAGTACTGAATATATATAGTAGGTGGGGGATTAACAGTAGAGGATTAACAGTAACAACAATTGCATACATGGGTGGGATAACATTGGTAGGTGTTGACAACAAAGGGATGATGCTGTCACAACCAGATGGACAGAGAACACATAGGTGGAAGCCAATAGGGACATGAAGCCAGTAAACAGGATAAGTGATTATTGTTTGATGAGTTCATAGTAGGCGGATGAGATGAAATAGCCTTGATCTCTGTTGATTGCTGGCTTGTGGCGGCGAA